GACAGCACTAGGGACAGTATGTATGTGATCACTAGGTTGAGACTGCAATGTTTTACTATGTAAAATGTAAAAAAGAAAATAAAAAGACATTTTTACCTTTTTAGATTTTCCGCCGCCGGCGGCAGGCGGCGCCCTTACGTCCCGACGTCACGAGGGACAGGACACGGGAAGGTCCGGATGCCTGGCTCAGCGTCCGGAGGAGATGGCCGGGGAACGCTGCAGGGGACACATCGTGGGAGCGCAGTGTAAGGTAAGTGAAGAACACATGCCGGAGCAGTGCCGCATGGTATTCCCGAGGTATGTAGCTCGGGGTTACCGCTTTTGGTACTGAAATGTTACCCGAGCTACACTCGGGAATACCGCCAGGGAGGTTAAGTATGCCTATGCTGTGTAATAGAAATATCTCATAGATTGACAATTTTGCGTAAAAAAAAATACATTTTCATTTTCTTTTCACATTTTCCAAAAACATGTGGCAAAAAATGAAGTATTCAGAGGACTCCCCATGCTCTTAAAGCATTACCTTGAGGTGTTTTCTTATGAAAATGGGGTCATTTTGTGGGTAATTCAATTGTCCTGGTGCTCCAGGACCTCCAAAACTGTGATAGACAGTCAAGAAATTAGATGTGTAATTTTTGCCCCCTAGAACGCCTAAGGGTGCTTATTTAATGTGGGACCTTCTCTATGTGCTTAGGCTGTGAAAAGTTTTACACATGTGGTATCGCCATACTCAGGATGAGTAGCAGAATGTGTTTTGGGGTGTAATTGCAAGTTATGCCTATGCCGTCTGTGTGAGAGATGAAGAACTTGTTAAATGACAACTTTGTGGGAAAAAAAAAAATAATTTTTTTACTTTCATCATTTCCTTAAAAAATTGGCAAAAAATGACAACTTCAAAAACTCCCCATGCCTCTATTAAATACCTCAGACTGTCTACTTTCCAAAAAGGGGTCGTTTAGGGGGTATTTGTAAAATTAAAGCTCTATTTGTTTGAAAAAAAATGATAATAATTTCAATTTATATATACAGTGTTGTATGCCTGAGTAATTGTCATTCACAATGTGAGAGCGCCGAAAGCTGAAAATTGGCCTGGACAGGAAGGGGGTAAAAGTGTCCGGACAGGAAGTGGTTAAAAGTGTGTCTATGGGAATGTTTGACCATTCTTCTGGAAGCGAATTTGTGAGGTCAGGCACTAATGTCAGACGAGAAAGCCTGGCTCGCAGTCTCCACTCTAATTCATCCCAAAAGGTATTCTATCAGGTTGAGGTCAGGACTGTGATTAGGCTAATCAAGGTCCTCGACCCCAAACTCGCTCATCCATGTCTTTATGGACCTTGCTTTGTGCACTGGTGCACAGTCATGTTGGAAGAGGTAGGGGCCATCCCCAAACTGTTCCACAAAGTTGGGAGCATGAAATTGCCCAAAATGTCTTGGTATGCTGATGCCTTAAGAGTTCCCTTCACTGGAACTAAGTGGCCAAGCCCAACCCCTGAAAAACATCCCCACACCATAATCTCCCCTCCACCAAACTTTACACTTGGCACAATGCAGGCAGGCAAGTACCGTTCTCCTGGCAACCGCCAAACCCAGACACGCCCATCAGATTGCCAGACAGAGAAGCGTGATTCATCACTGCAGAGAACACATCTCCACTGCTCTAGAGTCCAGTAGCGGCGTGCGTTACACCACTGCATCCAACACTTTGAATTGCACTTGGTGATGTAGAGCTTGGATTCAGCTGCTTGGCCATGGAAACCCATTCCATGAAGCTCTCTACACACTGTTGTGCTAATCTGAACACCACATGAAGCTTAGAGGTCTTTAGCTATTGACTCTGCAAACAGTTGGCGACTTCTGCGCACTGTGCACTTCAGTATGCGCTGACCCCGCTCTGTCGTTTTACGTGGCCTACCACTTCGTGGCTGAGTTGCTGTTGTTCCCAGTTGCTTCCACTTTGTTATAATACCACTAGCAGTTTACTGTGGAATATTTAGTAACAAGGAAATTTCACAGTTGGACTTATTGCACAGGTGGCAACCTATCACAGTACCACGCTTGAATTCATTGAGCTCCTGAGAGTGACCCATTCTTTCACAAATGTTTGTAGAAGCAGTCTGCATGACTAGGTGCTTGATTTTATTTACCTGTGGCCATGGAGGTGATTGGAACACCTGAACCCAATGCACAGTAACTAAATGGCTAGCACTTCCGCCTGGCTGTACTAGGGTCGTTGGTTCAAATCCCAACCACGGCACCATCTGCCTGGAGTTTGCTTGTTCTCCCTGTGCCTGCGTGGGTTTCCTCCCACACTCTAAAGACATGTTGGTAGGTTAACTGTATCCTATCCAAATTGGCCCTAGTATGAATGTGAGTTAGGGACATTAGATTGTACACTCCTAGAGGATTAGGGACTAATGTGAATGTACAATATATGTGTAAAGTGCTGTGTAAATTGATGGCGCTATATAAGTACCTGAAATAAATAAAAATAATACATTTGGAGGGCTGTCCCAATACTTTTGGCAATATGTATGCTAACAGCAATGAAACAAACAACAAACCAAGGTTCATTTAAAAAAAAATGAAAATACAATTCCAGCTAATAGCATTTTTTTGCATTACAAATAGTAAGAGATCTTTTCTCACAGATTTAGGCTAAATGTTCTAAATGTACTCATAGACATGGTTACACTTCAAGAAGTAACATTCATTGTGAGACTTTATGGATAGATTATTGTCCTTGTCTATAGCTCTCTTGCACTTGCTGTAACACCCTTGCAAATGATAGGTCTGTTAATCATAAACAACCATGAAGACATATTACGGGCACCCTGTGGTCTCTGTTATATCCTGTATTTGACAAATGTTTTGTTTTTGAGCATCTGGTCATAGCAGACAGCAAAAATTACTAGAATTCAATTGGGAAACTATTGAGAAAGTAATTAAATTACTGGCTCCACAAGGAACATTATTCTTGGGAATAATTCTACTGGCGGTTTATGAAATCCATGAAAAGGTGTACTTTTACTTTGCTAATGTGGCTCTTTAACATGAAGTCTCCAAAGTTAAATAAAAAACACAATTAAAATTTACTATATCAAATTCTTAAAGTATGTCTCAATCCTTACTGCATGACCTTCAGTTCACTAAAGCACTGTGTACCATAAAAAAAGACACAAAATAAAATACAAATTTTTGCCGATTCCCCTCCTTCACACCGGGAGGTTGATTTACAAAAGACAAAATACTCAACTACATGAAAGGACAATAAAAAAAACTGTATTTTGGCTTTTGCTCTTGATTGGATGATGAAAGGCAACAGAACTTCACCTCATTCACTAAGCTAAGTGAACAAGAACAATTGAGTACTGTCCTTGGTACTTGGCACAATTCACTAAAGCTTATCGCATGAGTTAAGTCAGTCACATGATCACATATGCGATACTGAAAATGTCAATTCACTATTGCCGGCGATTAAAAAATATTTAAAAAAACGGCGTGGGTTCCCCCCTCCATCCATACCAAGCCCTTCAGGTCTGATTTGGATTTTGAGGGGAACCCCCCTGCCAAAATGTAAAAAAAATGTAAAAAGAAAATTTAATGGGGTCCCCTCCAAAATCCATACCAGATCCTTACCCGAGCTTGCAGCTCGGCAGGTCAGGAATGGAGGGGGACGAGCAAGTGCCCCCCCCTCGTGAACCATACCAGGTCACTTGCCCTCTCAACATGTTGGGGTGCTTTGGGGCAGAGGGGGTTCCCCCCAAAGCACCTTGTCCCCATGTTGATGGGGACAAGGGCCTCTTCCTCATAACCCTGGCTGGTGGTTGTGGGGGTCTGCGGGTGGGGGGCTTATCAGAATCTGGCCTCCAGATCTGGCCTCCAGATCCCGCCCCCCATGTGAATCAATATGGGGTAAATAGTACCGCTACCCATTCACAAAAATAAACTGTATTGTGAAAAAAGACAGGAGACAGTCTTGGACAAGTCCTTTATTAAAAAAAGGAAAATAAAGAATTTCCCCCAAGTAGATCCAAGGTCAATCTCGATGCCCGCTGCTGCCACTACCCGAATTTTGTATACTTTACTGTATATTACATACTCTGTACTATTTACACTGTGCACCATTCTATATATTACATTGTACCTTGCACCTTATGTTACATAATACTGACCGCTCTGTCCTGTAGGATGTACACAGCAATACATATGCAGAAATGTGCCACTCTGTAGTGTATGTTCCATACCGTGGCTGCTCCACCCTGTACATTGTTCTGTAGATCACAAGCTCTAGCCCAGTCTGCACACTGTCCTGTATTACACTCAGTATACCGGGTGTCAATAAAGTCTGGACACATGGGCAAAATGCATATTTTCACTAAATTTCAATACATTTTTCAGCAACATGTTATTTCATTGGAATATTAATCAATACCATCTTCAATGTGATTTCCAGCATTTGTGATGCAAAGTTCCATGCTTTTTGCAAGATTCAAATGAACCCGATGCTGTAACAACATTTCTGTCAGTTTGAGCGCATTCGTTCATGATGTTTTCCTTCAGGTGATTTTCATTGAGTACTCCTTCCCCTTTAACATACCCCCAAAAAAAGAAGTCAAGGGGATTTGGATCTGTTGAGTTCATATAGTGATATATTATACACATATAGTGATATTTCCTATGTGTCCAGACTTCAGGGACACCCTGTACTGTGGTGTTCTTTATGTATACTATAGGTTGCTTTATTTTGTACTTTTATGTTACATACTTCTGATCACATAATTTGTATGCTGTGCATCCTTAGGCAGGTTCCTACACTATTTTTATTAGGTGGTTTTTTTTTAGGGGGGGCACCCATTAGCACTTCACCCTAGGCCCACTTCCGGCTCTCCTCAATCTTTTCCTTTGCATGCTATCCACTGTCATATATTTTGGCACTCCTCTACTGCGTGTGTTGTTATAGTCTTCTATACACTGGCTGCTGCTATGCCCTTTCATGTATGTACTCTTTGACCATGTATACTGTGCTTTTTTGTGCACTCTTTTCCTGCACTTGATGCCACTTGTCATAATCTCTGCACTCCTCTCCTGTACATACATCCTACTATCATACCTTCTAGAACTTTTCTCACATACTATCTATGGTCGGATTATCTGGCACTGTTCACTTGCACATACTACCCAATATCATATCCTAAAACAGTCCTCTCCTAGTCCACATGTACCATCTACTATAGTACACAGTGCTGGATTAAACTCTGTGGGGGGGCGCGGCTTGGCGCATGGCATGGTAATCTCCTACAGGCAGGCTCCTGTCCACCTGGATCTTTTCATGGTCACAGCGGGGCTCAGAAGCTTCATTTTTACAAGCAGGCAGTACCAATGGGGAGGCACAGCACCAGGGAAGGCAAAAAGGGGTAACACTTGCACCCCCATTAACAATTTATTCACCCGCTCTGCCTCTGACTCCCGTTGCCAGCTGCCATCCAAGATAGCACTGGCTCCATCATCTCCTGCCCATTCTGACTCTGCTTCAAAGGTGCGTTCCCCACACCGCTCTCCCTCTCCACCAGGCTTCGACAGGCTATTCACCCACTCTAGAAGTGCCTCCCTGAGCTCGCCTGTTCAAGGGATGGCTGTAACATTGAAGCCTATCTGAAATTCCTACCTACTAAGCGGGACTTTGATTCACTGGTCACCAGACTAGAACATACTTACAAACAAGAGATTGCTGACCTTAAAAATTATATCGGCTTCAGGCTGGAGGACTTAGAGCAAGTCTCCGAGGAATATGCTAGGGCCCAGAATGCACATGAGGTCACTCTGAAGGAACATACAGTTCTTATTCATCAGTTGCTTTTTCAACAAGATGACATAGAGAACCGAAATAGATGCAATAACATTCGCATACATGACTTACCGGAATCTGTCAACACTAAAGATCTTTCATCCGCAGCCCATGTCATCTTTAATCAACTCCTGCAAAAACCCAAGGATTCCCCTATCGATGTCGACCGCATTCATAGGGCCTTGGGCTCCAAGAATCCAGACACAGCATTTCCTAGAGACGTTATCTGTAGGATTCATTTTTACAAGGTTAAGGCCGAAATCCTCCAAGTGGCTATACAAGACACAATCTTGTTCAATGACACTTCTGTTATGTTATTACCTGACCTGTCTCATCTCACCCTGACCATGTGTAAGGCGCTCATACCTATTACTACAGCTCTACTCGCTAAGAACACTAAGTATTCCTGCGGCTTTCCTTTTCATCTGAAAGTGAACCACAATGGTAAAACTGCTCTCTTCCTCACCTTAGGAGGCCTGACAGATTTTTTGGGAATGCTAGCCCTCCCCGCCATCAACTTACCTGATTGGCCCATGAAAACCACATCCCCTTGTCTACCTTTGATCTTTTCTGACCAGCAGTGGCAACGCCAATCGAGGAAGAAACGTTCTCACTAATTGGATTCAGCTTCCTGCACCCTCTGGTCCACCAAATCCACTTCCGCCAGGTGTCTGACCTGCAACCCCCCAATCAGGGTCCGATACTGTCCCCTAAGGGTAGCCTTACAAGCCTCCCAAGCAGTATCAGGCTCTGCAGTATCCTCATTAAAGTCCCAGTATTGCTCCAATGCCTTCCTTATAGTGGGTTCTACATCAGGATCAGTAATCCAGTACTGAGATAACCTCCAGAGTTTTTCCCCGGGGGCACCATTAATACTCAAGCTAATAAGAAGTGGAGCGTGATCAGAAATCCATCGTGGAAGGATGGAAATCTCCTGAATCCTCACCAAAAGTGCAGGTGTTACATAACAAAGATCAATTCTAGACATTGTTCTGTGCGATGCAAAGTGACAGGTATAGACCCTGGTCTTAGGATTTTTCGACCTCCATACATCTGTAAACTGGTAAAGCCCCGCACACCTGGCCAATTCTGACTCCTTGCTGGTGTCAGGGTATAATTTGTCAACACTAGGGTCTGGAGTAAGATCAAAATCACCAGAAAGAAGAACATGGGATGTGGGATATGAGGCCAGGAGCAGGGCTAAGGCAGCCAACAAACGTGCGGAAGCAGGAGGCGGAAGATAGAGTCCAACAATTACCATTTCAAAGCAGTTGA